CATAGAACAACCGTGTTAGAAACGTAACAATTGCAGTGATTCGCGTTATCGACGGCGACCCCCCCAAAAACATGTATATATTTTTTTGTAAAACGGGGCAAAGATCACTTAAAAATTGTTGGGGCTCAATTGCAGTGGTCAGCCAAGAACGACCTGCACACTTTTTGGTTTAAAAGGAAACTTTTTAACAAAAAGCCGGGTCAAAGGCAGTCTCTTGGATTTTGGGAAAGTGGCATGCTCAGAGCAATTCTTAGAGACGAGCCTTCCTAGATGGTGGGAACGCTCCCGTTGCAATCTATCCTGGGTTTCTCCTCCTTGGACATCGTAGGAGTGGAAGAGACCTCAAAAGTCAAGGCAGGAAACCTCATACCATCCCGGCTGCCCAGTCTATTCGTGAAAACCTGCCGGGGTGAAGCGCCCACCTTATGACATTCGCATTAACAGGCCAATTAAGTTGTCTGGATGGTGCCCGTCATGATTATAGCACCTAGCAATAGCATATATGCCTATAAGATACTACTCCTTTCGTGTTTTCTTGCAAGGAGGAGGGGGAGGAGGAAGATTGTGGGGTCCTTGGGTGCCTTCTGAGCTTGGTTGTTTTCTTGCCGACGTTTCATTACCCAATTAGGTAACATCATCAATGCTAGAAGGGAGTGTGGTTTTTTTTGGAGGGGAGGAGGAGTAAAACTGTGGGGTCCTTGGTGCTCTCGGAGCTTGGTTGTTTTCTTGAAGACATTTCATGGCCCAGCTAGATAACATCATCAGTAATCTTCCTTCCTCTCCCTTCCTTCTTTCCTCCCTCCGATCATCCTTCCTTCTTCCCTCCCTCTCTCCCCTCCTCTTTCTTCCCGTTCTTTCCTTCCTCTCCTTTCCCCTTTTCTCCCTCCCATTGTCCTCCCTCCCTCCCTTCTTTCCTCCCTCTTCCCCTCCCTCCCTCCCTTCCATCATCCTTCCTCCCTCCCTTCCTTCCCTCCTCTCCCTTCCCCTTCCTTCCTTTTCTCCTTCCC